TCAAAGTCAAAGTCAAAGCATTTATTTCAATTAAACCATAATTTGGTACTTTTGAAACGTCAACAAATACAAAATAAATAATAGTCTGTCAGTCAGTCCGTCAGTGAAGCTAGGTGAAGCTAGGTGCTCATTCCAAAATGTAGATTCGAATGGAGAAGAACGACCAAGAAACTCCATTCGTTACTCTTTTTAAAAAAGTATGTTCTACAATGTGTCTGATATTCTGATTCCAATAGTATTTTTATCATAGAAATATTAAAAACAGACTTTTATCCACCTGCTAACTAATGCAATGAAAATGTTGATATAATATTTGGTTTCTCCCAAAAAATACCAAAATCTAAATATAGCTAAACAATCAACCGAAATGAAATCTAATCCCTAGAGCAGTTGTGTTGCATATAGCATGAATATCAGTTTACACACCCACATACGGTTGCTATGAAGTACAAACCAATTCAATTGACTATTCGCTGCAGTGATGCAATTGTGATCATTCGCTATTATTGTACAGAATTCTCACCTTGATAGATAGATTAGATATTATAGGTAGGTATGCTTGTTATGAGTTACTATAGCTGACTTTGATCGTGACTTCTTTCGGTTGTGGCTGTTGCTGAGAAATAGTTATGGTATTCTTATGGGTTCTAAGTGCAGCAAAATACAGTGCAGCCAAGATGAATCAATGTCAATGGGATACATAGATAAATCTTATATCTTATCTTATACTATATTATATAAAGCGGAAGAGTTTATTTTTTGCGCGCTAATCTCCGTAACTAAAAGTCTAATTTAAATAGTTATTTTTGTATCGGATAGTACATTTATCGAGGAAGGCTAAAGGCTATAAAACGTCACGCTAAGACCAATAGGAGCTGAGCAGAGCGTGTAAAACCGCGCGGAAGTGGCTAGTATTATATAAGTTTCATTCTTAAGAAAATTTTACGACAGAATTTAGTAATAGGTAGGTACTCACTTTTGGGCATAATTCTAGACTCTGACCTATTTTTTTTAATGGGATAAGCCGTTAAAAGAGCAGACGGATCACTTGATGGTAAGCAATCGGCGCCGCCCATGGACACACGAAACACTAGAGGCATTACCTACAAGTGTGTAACCAACCTTTTGGGGATTAGGAATCAGAGGATTCAGGTATTGGGCAGATAGGGGAGGTGGGTAATTGGGCCTCCGGTGACCTCACTCACACGACGAAACACAGCGCCAATGTTGTTTCACGTCGGTTTTCTGCTCGGCCGTGGTATCACTCCGGTGAAGCCAGCCCGTTCGTGTCGAAGCATGGCTCTCCCATATATACTTATTACTGAGAAATACTGATTAATCGACATAAGAAGCACTCATATCAAATATGAGTCATATTCTATAAATACCTTTAACTCGTCGAGTACCGTCATTATAGACACAATTATAGAACAATAGGTTGCGGTCACCGGTGACCGCTTGGTGTTTGACAGTTTAATATAATCATAATTATATTGTGACAAATAGTTGATGAATTCCTAGGATTATGACTTGATTCTCCCACAAATGCAGTATGTACGTGACTGTTCAGTGCTGGACATTAATACCATTACGCAAAACCTATTTAACTAATGAAATGGGTTACATTACGTATCTATATTGCACCTCTTTTCCCAACTACTTATCCCTACCCTACTACTTATCCCAACACAAGTAGGTAGGTATCTTCGGATTACTTTTTGTGAAGCCCCATTTTTTGTCAATTAACACTCATTAAAACACATATTTTTGTTAATAAACACGTAATATTACCTCTGTTTAGCCCTTCGGGGAACACAAAAACATAAGGTAGGTATAACATGTTACAATAGTTATTATAATTATTACTTATGGGTAAATAAAAATAAATTACTTCTCTAGATAAGGCGATGTTAATTAATTTAAACTGTAGTTAGTTAGGTATTAAATTATTGGTACGTCGTCGTGGTGGCCCGGAGGTTTAAGACGCCCACTTCTCATGCATGAGGGTGCGGGTTCGAAACCTACCAACGGCAAGTACCAATGTGACTTTTTCCGAGTTATATGTACTTTCTAAGATTATTTAGACACCACTGACAAACGGTGAAGGAAAAACATCGTGAGGAAACCTGAACTTATAATTTCTAATTATAAGTTTGAAATCGCCAACCCGCATTGAGCAAGCGTGGTGATTAATGCTCTAACCTTCTCCGTGTGAGAAGAGGCTTTGCTCAGCAGTGGGCATTTATAGGCTGTTGATGATGAAATTATTGGTATTATCTTTTGTTTTAGCGAACTTTAATAATGTTAAAAGATAACAGAATTCACTGTCTTCGAAAAGAATTTTCTACAACATATATGACCTCCTGACGCTCTTGTTTTAATTAAGAATGCAAAGCAAAGATTGATCCGCTAGTCTTTGACAGTCCTTTACAGGACTAAGAGCCTACTTGTACTTGTATTCATAACACACAGTTTTATACAAATAAACAATAATAATAATATTTATTTCGTGTTAAAAATAGGGTCACCATGAAAAATATTTCAATGGGACAATATAGAGACAAATAAACAATAATAATAATATTTATTTCGTGTCCAAAATAGGGTCACCATGAAAAATATTTCAATAGGACAAGTCTCAAATTTCACGTCAGATTTTATAAGTACTAATATTTGTTTTAAGAAGGCAAATATTTAGTGAAATATTTTGCTTGTATGAATATTTGAATATATTAACGTAACCTTGAACTTCATACTCATAGTGTTGACATTCAATGAGTAGGTAGGTAGGTAACATCCGTCGGCTAACGTGTGAAATACCTATTTAAATAAAAATTATGTGTTTTTGTATGTTAGTATATGACAAACACATCTTGCTTGTATTTATCAATATATATATATGTATAGTATGCATATACATTACACAATAGCTAATAAATAAAATAACATCACGCCTTTTATCCCCGAAGAGGCAGGCAGAAGTGCACATTACTTAATGCCACTGTACCGT